CTGTCTTTTCCTCTTACCCAGCACGTCCCATCCGTTACAAATTCTTTTCCCCTCACCACACGATCACCAGACGTGATGATGTACGTCTGACTTTTCATTAAATGCAAACCCTTTTTGGTAAAATCTCAAAAATTTAAACCGTTTCAAAATATGCGTACTTATGGCTACGTAGAGTATAACTTTGTTTTTCCCTGAAAAATCCATCTAATGCTCTACGCAGGGCGTAGAGATGGTACACCTGGCGTACTTTGTCTGATTGTTGACCTTTAACTTTTGACCATTGACCGTTGACTTTGAGGAAGTTTGACTTTATGTTAAATGGGGTAATTTGAGTAGTAGATTGAGGCTTGGTCCCATTTTATGGTATAGGTGATTTGTAGAGACAATGTGTGGAGCAATGTTCAGTTCAACTATCTTTCAGACTGCGAGGTGAGTTTTCCTCACTATACTCATGGGTTGAAGGCACAAATGCTAACCCACTAGTTTGTATGATTTATCCTGTTATATATGATGTTGTTATGCTGTAGTGTTCTGTGAGACTGGTAGATCTGCATGATTATCTGTTTGTTGGCTATATGTTTATCTGTTGCATATGTCGACATAATGCGGTTAGGTTGAGGCAATACTACACTGTGCGGAAGCCAACAAGCCTGGGAGCAATCCAGACATAAGATGAGGGCCGGGAAGGAAAACCAGCCTTATGATGTGGGCTCGGGAGCAATCCATACATAAGCTGTAGGTCGGGAGGGTAATCCACACTTATGTTGTGGGCTCACGGGTAATAGGGGTGGCAATCCTCGACCCAACCCGTAACCCGACACTGACCCAACACGAAAATAAACGGGTTTGGGTTGAGATTTGTGACCCGCCAACCCACCAACCCGCCAACCTGTTTATTTCATGGGTTGGGTTGGGTTACCTGTTTGGGTTTGCGGGTCAACCTGCCAACCCGATTATATATAGAATATTATATAATACTATATATATTATATAGATATATATATATATATAATATATATATAGATATATATATATATATATATATATAATAATGTTTAAAAATATATTTAATTATTTAGCAGTTTTGAATATTTGATTATCGTTTAATCGTTTTCCGAATTCCAAAACTGCAAAACATTTTCGAGTCGATTTAGCGTGCCCTAGCCCCTAAGAAGCCCCTAATAAAAAAGAAATCCAGTCTTCTATCTACAAACTCACGTCTCCGTGTCTCCCGTCTCTATCGATTGAGGCATCGAGTCATCGACTATCGCAGTATCGCACGTACACCACTCGTCTTCTTGTCCTCCGGCTATCGCACACCACTCGTCGTCGTCACTCTTGTTTCTGACTTTATGTAAATGAGTTTATGTTGAATATTTAATACTTTATGACTTCATTTTATTTGTATTTTTTAATTTCATTTTAAAATGTGGTGCTTATTAAATGGGTTATACGGGTTGGGTTCGACCCACAAACCCATATACTTATACGGGTTTTATGGGTTGGGTTGGGTTGATGTTTTCAACCCACCAACCCGTGACCCGCCAACCCACCAACCCATATATTATATGGGTTGGGTTCGGTCAATATATTCTGACCCGCCAACCCGTCAACTCGTGACCCACCAACTCGAACTCAACCCAATTGTCAGGCCAAACGGGTAATCCAGTTCGAAGGCTGTAGACCTAGTATGCATGTTGTTATATATTTGTGTTGTGGTATTTCAGAGGAACTGACTAAGCTTTCGCTTACAGTTTGATTTTATGATTTCAGGTACAACTGAGGATTGAGAATAGGGTCCATGTGAAGGCGTTATTGTGCACATCATTCTTGATATTTATTTGATCTATAATTTTGGGATAGTCTGATTATGATTTTTACTTTTGGAAACTATGTTTTGAATGATTTAGGGATTTTAATATAATTTTAAAAATGAAAATATTTTGATGGTTTTTGGGATGTTACAGGATCAGGCCTCGTATTTATGAACAACTTAACTTTATAAATTCTAATATCCACATCAAAGTCATATATATTGCCATGCTTTACTGATTATGCATATCTATGAGATTAGAGCTTTTGGAGACACCGGATAGTTAGCAACTTTCAATTGCATGATTAGTGTTTCATCCTTGCCACATGTTTAGTAAGGGTGCCAATTGGTTTGGGCGGGTTTAGGGTCGTAGGTTCGATGGTTGGCGGGTCAAAATACATTAGGCCAACCTAACTCATATATGTATTTAGGTTGGCAGGTCACAAGTTGGCGGGTGGGCAACATCAACCCATACACGACCCGCATTACCTGTTTAATTATATAGCTCTTCCATTAACCGATTCTGTATTTCCCAAAAGAGATTAACAGTTAAGTATAAATAAACAATTAATTGTATAACAAAAATTATAATTAAATACTTAGTTATTGTTGTTCCGCCTCGACACTAACAAATACCCCATTCCTATGTGGCCAAAAATCTCTTAACTTCATTGTGGCCAAAAAAATCCTCAATTTCGATGGTGATTGTGGCATGAATCTTTGCGAATCGACGAAGAAGAGGGAAAGAAAAAAGGGCAGAAACAGATGGAGCAAAACAAAAGAAGACTTTAATCTTTGAGATAAATTTTTCTTGTTGCCCAGTCATGTGATTGCTTGCCCCATTATCCAGGTACCAAATATTGGACCTGTTGGGTTCATCACCTGTAGACTTTAACTTTGGGGTTATATTTTTCTCATTCAATAATACCTCCTCATGCGCTTCAATAGAGTTGTACATTGACATTAAGAGTGTCGGCTCGTCATCCTCTTCATCCTTGGTTAGATTTGCCTCCTTGGTTAGATTTCCCTCCAGATTTCTTTCATGCCTTGGATTTTACACTTTGAGGCATAATGACCGATATCTTGATAGTTGTAGCATTGTACCTTACTTTTATCATGAGTACCAAATGAATTTCGACCTCCTCCTCGGTTATGGTGGACACCGCCTCCCCTACGACCTCCTCGGTTATTGTTAACGCCTGATCTTCCACTGCCATGGCCACGAGATTCTAGCCACTCCTGATGAGTTAGTAATAACTCATGTCCATCCTCACCTTGTTTCTTAGATCTATCAAGCCACTCCTGATGAGTTAGCAGCAACTTCTTCTCATCATTATCACTCTGACCGCGTACCCGCTCTTCATGCGCTTTCAATCTCCCGATTACTTCTTCGACGGTCATTATTTCCATGTGTACGAATTGTTCAATTGTTGAGGCAATCTGCACAAACTTAGACGGAACTGCCCGTAATAGCTTCTTTACCACGTAGGCTTCCTTAATCTTGTCTCCCAATGCTCAAATATTACAAGCTATGTTGGTGATTTTTGCAGAAAAATCATCCACAGTTTCTGTCTCCTTCATAGTCAAAATCTCGAACTCCGCCTTTAAGGTTTGAACCTTAGCTATCTTCACACGATCAACACCCATGTAAATTGTTTTGAGTGTGTCCCAAGTCTCTTTCGTTGTCTGCTTCTCTGCTAACGACAGGACCATGTCTTCGGGAATGGATTGATAGATGGCAGCCATTGACATCTTATCTTTCTTCACACCAACGGGGTTCTGGGGGTTCTTAGGTTCAATTGCTTCCCATACTTCTTGGACTTGCATAAAAACCTTCATCTTTATTGCCCAAAGTGCATAGTTGCTTCTCGTCAACATTGGGTAATGGATTCCATATGAGCCGTCTTTTTTTTTTGTCCATCCATGTCGTTGATGTAGCTTAGTAACCTGGTATTGCTCTAATACCAAGTGTAAATCAGAACCCTGTGTTTCTTTCTGCAGAAACACTAAACACAAGAAATAGAACAAACAGTGGAAGGGAAGAACACAATGAAAAAGGGTAATTTGGGAATAAACTTTTCTGCTGGGTTTTATTAACTCTAAAAAACACCCACCTAAACATTTAAACAACTCCTATTTATACTAGAAACAAAAAAAACTAACAAACTAAGTTTATCTGCTACCAAATTTGCAGGAAAAGATAATGACTCAAAATTCAAAAATAAAAACGGATATGAGTTTCAAACTTCTGGATTATTTCAACATTGCCACCTATAATCTTCATTATATTCAAGTCTGACTAGGCTCGGATAAATTTTCCAGATTGGAACATGTTCAATTCTCTTAGGTTAGAAACAAATTCCGGTTATCTTATAATATTTAGATGACAAAATTTCAATTATAAATTATCGTTATTTAACAAAAAGTTAGTGTTAGAAATAAATAGAATGTCTGATATATGTCGTTCGTTGGTTCTCGGGTGATCTCTGTCACGTGTATAATTCCTGACAAGTTTATGAACGAGTTCTGAAACAGCACACGCCACAAACTAATTCGAAAGGCACATAAGAGTTTGGCATCTTAGTATGCAACAGATAAGTGCATGGAAACAAAACCATAGCTGGAACACCATTTCGTGGATTCTCATCGTCACTCCACGAAACCCCTTCCGGTAAACATGGTGCGTAGAATTTTGGCAATCTCTAGAATATTCAAAGTTGATAGATGTTCATACTTTCCACTCCATGCTCGTTAATTTTTCTCATAGAAAACAATCACGTTCAACGTTCTTGTTTCTTTTTGTTCGAGATCTGAAAAGTGCTTCATTCAATCTTAATTAGCACTCACATGGCCATATTTCGCATTTTCCCAAGATGCATTAAACTGTCTCATCTCACAGGCATCATACACCTAGTTCTGATTCAAATCAAAGAAATAGTGGGTTGCCACGTATCACCTAGAAATTGCAAGGAGGTGAAAACCGAGAGATAGCAATGGCTCCACGTCTGTTGTCCCACATTTTCATGCGCCTAAATTATTTTCCATTCAAATGCATGATATGCGGAGTGCTTTCATTCCATCATTATGGGGCTTTTAACTTCGTATAATTCCAGAGAGTAAGGCTGGTAGTTGGTATCACTAAAAATTGTATTTCCCTTCTTCAAAAAGATTACTACCAAAACATCAAATGGGGTTTTCTCCAAAACCATCATCCAGGAAAGATTTCCGATCCATTACTTTGCCATGCAGATCACATCCATGCACCTACAGAATCGACAAAGTGCTGAATAAAGTTAAAACATGGGAATCCACATCATCATTATCGAATCCATCTGCAGAAATCATTTGCAGCGGCGTGTTTCAACTGACAGAGTTGTATGAATGTTTGGATGACCTTGTCCAAACATGTCCTTCCAAAACTTCGTTAGATTCCAGCAATCAGAACATGAGATGGACGGATGAGTTACTTGATGTATCTGTTATTTTCATGGATATTTTCAGCAATATATCTGATCTCATGTTGCAGACAAAACAACATGTGAGGGATCTGGGGGTGTGATCTAAGGAGAAATGGTGGTCCCAGCATCGACAGCATCATTGACAATAACACTGCCTTCACAAAGAAACTGAGAAAAGACATTAAAACGTCTGTGGCTAGTCTAAATCAATTGGATGACATGATTGGCCACTCTCCCTTGGTAGATTTTCAAAACAACCATCTCATATCGGTGATCCGAGTGTTCAGAGAAGTTAAAGCATTCACCGCTGTTATTGTGCAGTTGTTGTTGAAATTCTTGGCTATTCCACTTTCGAAGACAAGATCGAGAAGCATATGGACAGCAGTCTCAAGATATATATCCAAAAGTAAAGTGGTACCAGAAGAAAAAGTTGATACTAATATAAATGAGTTGCAACACCTTGATGCTGCACTATTCAGATACAGGACAAGCAACAAACTGGAATTCATCCAAACCGTACGAAAGAGACTAGAGGAATTTGAGGCTACTGTCGACAGCATCAACTCTCACTTGGAATCAATATCCAGGCACCTGATTTCAACCAGAACCTCACTTCTTAACTTCATCTCTTTCTACTAGCCAAAATATTATCATACACCTGCAACGATGAAGCTACTAGATCTCCAAATATTAGATGATGGATTGAAGCTTTTTGTTTACATTTTTCCAAATTATCATATAAATGTTATACATTTGTTGAACATAGAGTAAATATTGTTATATTGATACACCCTATCAATATTTTTTAAACCAAGCTTGTGCTTTGGTGTTGAATCAACTCATAGTTGTTGACTTTATATTTTCTGAATATATATTTTTATTCTTTCACTTGGGGTTATTTTGAAAATCATTTCTAAAAATGGTGTTATTGAAAATGCATCCCTCCACACTGATCATATTTTGATAAATATCGCTCCTCGATTTTCATAATCGCTACAAGAATAGCGAGTATTAGTGGCGAATAGTAGTGGCGGCAGACTGTTGACGTCGCCGCTAATAGGTCGATGTTGTTGCTTCGTAGCTAATGCTCCAAAGATCGCCACTAATGGACTATCACCACTAATATCGTGTGTCGCTGCTAAAAGACTGGTGTCACTAATACCATGCGTCGCCACTAATTGTATTTTCTATTTTTTAGTATTTAATATTAAAATTAAACATAATGCAATGTATCCAAAATACTACATTCTATAAAAAATATTAATCCAAACATCCGGTCCAAAATTCTCATCCAAACATAATGCAATGTATCCAAAATACTAGTCTAAGATACTAACCCAAACAAAAAGTTACATAGATCCTATAAGTAGCTACTCGCCATCATCGTTATCCTACGTTTACTTTGTTTTCATTTCGTGGTAGCAACGATCGAAACCATTATTCAAGTGTCCCACAAAATGTTGGGTCTTTTAACATTTTTTGAAACATGTCCATTTACAAAGGAAACAATATATTCTTATAAGTTAAATCAACAACTTACAAAAATATAAGTACACTACAAAGTATATTATCAACATATCATTATAACATTCTACTTTACAAATTAAGGTCATGAAGATTATAGCATCCTACTTTTTTTTCATTTTTTCATTATATCATTGTACTTTCCAAATACATTTAAACATACATCATACACATATTACATATACATTATAGCATTGTACTTTTTTTCTCTCCATTTTTTAATTATAGCATTGTACTATAATTAAACTTATGAAAATATAACTATGTACAGAATATATTATGAAGATATCATTATAGCATTCTACTTTGCAAATTAAGGTCATGATGATTATAGCATCCTACTTTTTTTCATTTATCCATTATAACATCGTATTTCTTATTATACTTAAACATACATCGTAAAAATATTGCATATACATTATAGCATTGTATTTTTTTTTTCATTTTTTCCATTACAACATTATTAAACTAACTATTATACCAAACTACAAAATACGAACACGTCAAACACCTGGTACACATACACTAAGGTGCAATGTGCAATTTCATTGATTAGCACCAAATTCATATTTTTCCTAAAGCAACTAAGATTTGGGAATTTATGAAAGCGTTTAGTTACTTCGTATTTTCATTATACTTTTAATTGAAGTTTGTGTCCTATCCTACCCGTTCGGCTAACGACCCTCCACTAGTCAAGGGTGCGGTGGGTAACAGTGGATACCCAATGACGGTCATTTTACAGGTCGTTTCCTTAAACACCTTTATAGACCCGCTTCGTGAATGAGGCCTAGTATCGGTAAGACTGACCTTTTACATATACATATAATATAAATTAGACTTTTATTTTTATATAGTATAAGGGTGTATTTTATACATTTAAAATATTAAGTGGTTTTATTAATTCTCTCTTTTAATTAAACTTTTAATTAACTTAATAAAACCATAATGGTGTAATTTGAACTATTCAAAATTATCAAGGTTCTAATTTTATATAGTATAACGGTGTATTTTACAAATTCAAGAAGTGCACTTTTGAAACTTTTTAAATTACTAGGGTTTAAGAATTTAATATTTCAAAATTAAAACTTTTAATCAAATTTTGAAATTCCAAAACTTGAGGGAAAATTTTGAAACTTTTCAAAACCTTTTAGATCATATTTGAAAACAATTAAATTAATCATATAATTTATCTTTATCACATAATTTGACCTAATCCACTTTCAACACAAGATAATTCAAATCAAATAATATAAATATTTAATTTTATCATATAAACTAGTAATTATCTTATAATTTGACAATTATCTTCTAATTGGATGAGGATAATCATTACCATATTATAAAAACCGAATTTAATCAGTAAAAATAGTTTATGGTAATTATCCTAACCCAATTCTAGTCAAAATCCCGAAAAATATGCCAACAGACACGTAAACTCGTCGAGTCGGACTTCGACTCGTCGAGTTCATAGTGAACTCGTCGAGTTCATATATGGACTCGTCGAGTCCACGCTGCAGAAGTAGATTTTCGAGTTTTCCAACTTTGAACACTTAAGCAATTCATCATATACAACAGAAAAACGACCTAGGCTCTGATACCACTGATGAGTTTTGAGAACTACAACATTCCTATGGTGTACATGCAACCGTAATGCTTTGGGTCTAGTTTTTCTCAATTTATACATGCAAATAACCATCCAAAGCACAAACCCTAAAACTAGCATATCAAATTTCGAAATTGACATATGATTAGGGTTAGAAACCTTACCTCACTTGTTATGTAGCAATAACAAGAACTATCCTTCTTGATCTTGACTTATGAAAGCCTAGTGCCCCAAGTGTTGCACCTCTAATGGAGTCACAAGCACCCAATGTAAGAGGAATGACTTAGGAGAGAAGGATTTCGGCCACCTTAGGGTTTCATAAAGCATACGACGAAAATCCTTAATATTGGGGTCTATTTATACTTGTGAGTGCTAGGGTTTTAGGTGGAAAGCCTAATATGATTGCTTAAGACTTAAGCAGTCCATGGACACCTTCTAGAATACCCCCTTGGACGAATTCTTTATGGGCTTCCCATAGAACTCGTCCAACCTTATTCCAAGGTGATCCATCGGCCCAATTGCAACTATAAGTGATTTGCATTATCAGTCACCGATTACTTAATCAGTCTCTTTTTGACCACTAAATTAATTCCAAATTAATTTCTGATCAATACTAATTAAATAATATGATTTCCAAGTAATATATTAATCTTGTAATATATTAATAAAACCATTTTGAGTACCAATTTATTATTCATATAATAAATCCTACTCTCTCTCTCTCTCTCTCTCTCTCTCTCTCTCTCTCTCCAGTTGTCATCCTATCAAGTTGCATGAGTGAAGGCAACCCAAAAGGACCATGCTCATAATCAAATCAAGCACATACCAAATATAGTTATGGGCTTAGACACCTAATCCAACAGTCTCCCACTTTGGATAAGTCTAATAACTAGTATTGCAAATACGACTTCAGAATTTGATTAGCAATCGTAGCTTTCAAAAGCCGCTATTGAACTCTGATCTTATCGGTAACACGTCATTTAGATAAGGGATCATATATTCCTCCATTCTAGAAGATATCGTATGAACTGAGATATGGATTTTAATCATTCTCTCTGTTCATGTGTTGTTTCCCGATTTTCGATTTATGACGACTGACTAATAGAACAAATCAAATCAGTCCGGGCTTGACCAAGCGCTTAGGGTGTCATCACTAAATCATCGAGGGGCCCACATATATCCCTTTTATCCTACATTGGGTAAAAGGAACGGATAAACTTCGACTCATATGTTTGTACTATTTACTCATCAAATCGCACACAACAACACGTTTTATAACATCAAGTTACTAATGCGTTACGTATTTTCAATGTGCAACCGACTCATAAACAACAACTCATATCTATCCGTTTTAAGAATATAAGATATTATCGTCTCACACTCACTCGTGATAAAATCCACGAAGTGATTCACGTGAACGTGGGTTTAATCCAATACTCAAATCCTATTTCAGGAGCACTCATGAACACTGCATCAAATTTGTGCTATGTCTAAGCACTTTAGACAATCTACAGTCGGATTCATAACAGTCTTACCTCATTACTTACTTCCAAAGTATGATTGACTGTGGATGTTTGAATAACCTAGTTATTCGGGAAGTAAAACATGCAAAATGAAACACAAGAATAATCGAATCCAATATGAATATAAATAAAACACTTATTATTTAATCACCATATTGATTACACATTATTCATTGTATAATGTTTCGACTAACCAACTTAATACTTGAATTGAAACAATAGTTATCCCATGCTCCAAGCATGTACACTATGTTTACCTATGGTCTTTACTTTGTGAAATAGATCAATTGAACACATTTCCAATGATGCTCATTTCACAACTCCAAATCCTTATTATAAGTGTAAGAATGCCAAATTCTTGCCACTATTATAAGTGTAAGAATGTCAAATCCTATCTATTCAAAATAATGTCGATATGGATTATACACATCTCAAAAATTAATTACTAATTAGTATTTATACACTGAGCATGGAGCAATGTTGTTGACGTCCGATAGCGATAGTGGAGCTCGTTTTCATCTGCACCAACGCCGAGTATCCGACGAAATTAAATGGGTGAGTGAGTGAGGACAAGACGATGGAAGGGAAAACTGCAAACTACGAAGGGTACTGATTCGGGATTCTCGATTCTACCATATTCTAGGACACACTCCAAGAAAATACAAATTAAATATTAAATATTAATTTTTTTAAAATCATATATATTTGGTGGTTTGTCGGGTTCACCAGTAAACCCAAACACATAACCCGAACCAGGCCCATGAAATAGGCAGGTTGGCAGGTTGGTAGGTCGAAAATCTCAACCCATACCTGTTTATTTTTTTGGTTGAGTTTATGTCGTGTGTCAGGTTGGGTTGAGAATTGTCACCTATTCATTCACGGTCTAACTATCAGATAAATTTTCCAGATTGAAACATGTTAATTTCTCTTAGGTCTGACCTATGGCTAAAATTCACCTTGGATGGCATATGCTTACGTTAGAAATAAATTCTGGTTGTCTTATAGTAATATTTAGATGACAAATTTTGAATTTATAAATTATCTTTATTTTTAAAAAAGTTAGTGTTAGAATAAATAGAATGCATGATACATGTTGTTCGTTGGTTCTCGGTTGTTCTCTGTCACGTGTATGTCATTTTACAAAAAGTTAGTAATGCAATATATAAGTACATGGAAACAAAACCATAGCTGGAACACCATTTCGTGGATTTTCATTGTCACTCCACGTAACCCCTTCCGGTAAACATGGTGCGTAGAGTTTTGGCAATCTCTAGAATATTCAAAGTTGATAGATGCCCATACTTTCCATGCTCGTCAGTTTTTTTCATAGAAAACAATCATGCACGTTCAATTTTCATGTTTCTTTTTGTTCGAGATTAAAAAAGTGTTTCATCCAATCTTAATTACCTCTCACATGGATATTCATATTTCGCCTTTTCCTAATATGCATTAAACTGTCTCATCTCACAGGCATCAGCATCATCCACCTGGTTCTGATTCAAATCTAAGAAATAGTGGGTCGCCACGTTGATATGAATCAGGGGAGATGGGGCAAGGTGTACCGAAGGCATAAGACCAAGGGGTGATTGGTATTTTATTAAATAAGGAATCTAGTTTTTATCTTTTCTAGTTTCCTGGAGTTTAGGAGTTTCCAAGTTGACTTTTATTTAAATAAGGGGTTTAGGGTCGGCTAGATTTTTTTATGCATGAATTACGTTTTGTCTTTCTTGTGGAGATCTCTCTGAAATCTCGAAACCTTCAGGGCCCTATTGTTACTTTCTTAAGCATTAAGTTAATCGTATTTGAAATTGTTATTCAGTTCATATCAAATTGGTATCAGAGCAACGATTCTGGAGCACTATTCACGACGTACTGTTCACATCGTTATTGTTCACGTCGTTACTGTTCCTTGAATTGGTATGACGAAACCTACCACAAGATCGGATAGCACCAGCAAGGACACAATGTCTCATGATGGCCGGAAACGGATTGAGAGGATGGAACAGGAGTTAATGGCAATTCGGGAAGAGTCAAAAATAAGAATGGCGGAAATGCGAGCAGAATCAGAGAGTCGACAAGCCTTGGCAGATCAAAGACATGCGGAGCTTCTGGCACTATTGCTGAAATCGAACCAACCCTCACCTACACCTACCACCACAGTACCTCCACCACCATCCACGCAACCTGTTGCAACAGTTATCGGTCACACAGGTATAGGCCCCAAGATTACATCTTTAATCCCACCTAAGGTTACACATGGATCTTCGTTTCAACGGGCGGGTATGTTTTCTCAGCCACCACTTGTTCACACACATGTGTATACCCAAACGCAACCCGCCTACACTATATCCTCTATGGTTTATGATGAACAAGGAGTCCCCATACCCAAGACCTTTACGCCGGGGACCGGGTCTAATCAGAGCAGGTATAAGGCGTACACAGGGAATGGTTGGGGGTATGAAGAACCAGCCGAACTACGCCACAACCAAACGGGGCGAGCCTTCGATCACCGAATGCAACCACCGATCGCCAATCACAGTCACGGAGGTGGGTAGGTCCCCAACACAGATTACCGCCTCCGCAAGCTCAAAATGCCTTTATTTGAAGGAGAAGACGCTTACGGTTGGGTTTATAAAGCAGAGTGGTTCTTTGACATGCAAGGTTTGAGCACATCATCGGAGAAGCTTAGGGCTGTTGTTTTATGCATTGAGGGTCCCGTGTTGGCATGGTACAGGTGGAATGAACAAAGGTCTCCGTTTCGAAGTAGGGAAGAGTTGAAACATCGGCTATTGGATCGTTTCCAACCGTCCCAAGAGGGAAATCTTTATCAACAATTCTTAGCAATTAGTCAAGAGGGTACCGCACGGGAGTACGTGGGATTATTCGAGCAATCGGCAGCGCAACTGGGTGATATTCCCGAACACATATTAGAGGCCACATTTGTAAATGGTCTCAAACCCGAACTTAGAAAATCAGTGCGAACGATGCAGCCCGTGGGAACGAGTCAGGCAATCAAATTAGCATTACTCATTGATGAAAACAGAACATGTGATCAAGTGAAGGTGACCAGTCGACCTGCAGCATACCGGAACAGTTATGCGCGCCCACTTAACGTAACCAGTATCCCTGACACCAAAAACACCATTGGTAAGCTAGCTCCAACACCCTTTAAACGCTTGACTGAGGCTGAATTGGCTAACAAACGAGCAAAGGGATTGTGCTTCCGTTGTGACAGCAAGTTCGGACTAGGCCATAAATGCTCGAGTAAAACATTACAGGTCGTGCTGATTGGTGAAGATGAGGATAAGGAGGAACCCGAAGGCGAAGAACATGCGCATTTAGATATGGTTTCAGTATCTGCTAGTTCAGTAATGGGGTTAACCACACCTCACACTATGAAATTACGCGGGCACATTAGTGGGTAGGAGGTGGTGGTTCTGATTGACAGCAGGGCTACACATAACTTCATTTCGTTGTCATTAGTACCTACTCTTGGTCTTACCATTAAGGACAGACGTAAGACAGGGGTGATGCTGGGAAACGGGCAGTTTGACAAGAATTTTGGTATATGTAGGTGGGTAATATTAATTCTACCGGGATACCAGTTGACATGTAACTTTTACCCCCTCGAGCTCGGCAGTACCGATCTAATTCTAGGAATTCAATGGTTGCGTACCTTGGGCGATACCCGAAATAACCAGAAGGAATTAACCATGTCTTTTGTTGCAAGTGGAAAGAAGGTAACACTCAAAGGGGAACCAGGATTAAAAAGGGATGAATCCTCCTTACAGGCGTTGGCTCGCGACTTACTCGGGGTTAGCAAGGGTTTTCTAGTCGAGTTTGATAACTTGGTGGGTTTGGAAGGACCTACCTCACAAGTCCATCATGTCTTGGATGACTTGCTGGTTGATTTCAGTGATATATTTATGTTACCAGTGGGTTTACCGCCATCACGGGAGCATGAACATGCCATTAATTTGAAGAATGGGACCGAACCGATCAATGTGCAACCATATCGGTACCCCCAACTACAAAAAGACGAAGTAGAGAGGCTAATTAATGAAATGATTTCAGCCGGCGTGATTCGTGCGAGTTCCAGTCCGTTTTCGAGCCTGGTGTTGTTGGTAAAAAAGAAAGATGGCAGCTGGCGTTTCTGCGTTGATTATCGTGCACTAAATAAGGCAACGATATTAGATAAGTTACCCATCCCAGTTATCGATGAATTGCTCGATGAATTGCATGGCACTGTCATATTTAGCAAGCTTGATTTAAAATCCGGCTATCATCAGATCCGTATGAAGCCGGATGACATCCCGAAAACAGCTTTTCGAACTCATGAGGGATATTATGAGTTCCTTGTGATGCCTTTTGGGTTGACTAATGCTCTGTCAACCTTCCAAGCTCTTATGAACAAAGTTTCTCATCCTTACCTGCATAAGTTCGTGTTAGTTTTCTTTGACGACATTCTAATCTATAGTCGGTCAATGGACGAGCATCGGGAGCATCTTACTTTGGTTTTCGGCTGTCTAAGAGCCGAGGGTCTGTTCTGCAATAGAAAAAAGTGTTAAAGATCATCACTAGCCCAATAGAACAAATATTATCTAGAAGACTTTAGCTTGTTCTAGAACGCTCTAGAAGATTCTAGAACATTATGGAAGACTATGGAAGACTCCGGAATATACCGGAAGAGTCTAGAATACTCTAGAACGACATGGAAGACCCTGGAAGGTTATGGATCATTCTAGAAGACACTGGAGCAACCTAGACCTCTCCAGAACATGGTAGAATATTCTAGAAACATATTGAAGCATATAGAGTATGTTAGATAGTTCTAGAGTTATCTAGTATGTAGTAAGTGTATACTAGTATCTAGAACCTTCCTAAGAGGCCTATAAATAGGTGTGGAGCTCATTTGCTCCAAACCATCCAAGAAAGCCTCAAAGAGAGCAAAGTGTGTAGTAGTCTCACAAAGTGTAAGGTCTTCTTAAGTGTCTTAATAAAAGTCTTGTTGTTTCCCATACAAAGAGTCGTGTTCAACAATCTGGTATCAGAGCAAGGTTTCTTGATAGTAAGAACGAGTGATTCTCTTTGTATCGTGAGTAGTCTGTGACTCTGCAAGTTCGGTGTCGAAACTAGCTTGTTTGGTATTACCGAGGTACTGCCAACACGATGTGTGATCTCCAAGTCGTCGGAGGAATCAAGAAACTCAACAACAACAACTACAAAACATGGGAAACATGTATGAAGTCCTACTTACAAGGACAAGATCTATGGGAGGTCGTTGGCGGAAGCGAAACTACGCCGCCGGAGGAAGATGTTAATGGCGCTCTACGCAAATGGAAAATCAAAGCAGGCAAAGCAATGTTTGCCTTGAAGACCACAATCGAAGAAGAGATGTTGGAGCATATTCGGGACGAGAACACACCGAAAGAAGCTTGGGACACGTTTGTGACGCTTTTCTCAAAGAAGAATGATACGAGACTACAACTTTTGGAGAACGAGCTATTATCAATCTCACAACGTGACATGACGATTGCTCAATATTTCCATAAGGTCAAGTCGATATGTCGGGAGATTACTGAACTAGATCCACAATCCGTCATTACAGAATCTCGAATGAAGAGGATCATCATCCATGGACTGAGGCCGGAATATAGAAGCTTCGTTACTGCTGTACAAGGATGGCCCGTTCAACCATCACTTGTAGAGTTTGAGAATTTGTTGGCCAGCCAAGAAGCTATGGCTAAGCAAATGGGAGGCATCACGCTGAAGAGTGAAGAAGAAGCACTCTACACAAGTAAAAGTCGAAGGAATTTCAAGCCACCTTCTAAAGAAGGATACAAAAATGCTGACAAAGGGAAGAGTCAGCCAGGAACCTCACAACCATGGAGATCTCAAAAGACCGACAATAAGAGTTCTCGGGGGAGGAGGTTCGAAGGCAACTGCAACAATTGTGGAAAGTGGGGCCACATGTCCAAAGATTGTTGGTCAAAGAAAAAGTCTGTGGAAAGCAATGTCGTAACTTCCAAAAAGGAAATAGAGGATGAATGGGATGCAGAGGCATTATGTGTCATAGAAGAAAACGAGTTGGCACTCATGGCAATGATGGGAGAGCGTATCAACTATGAGAATGACTGGATCATTGATTCAGGATGCTCCAATCATATGACTGGTGATAACTACAAGACGTGAAGGAGTACAAAGGGAGTCGCATGGTACTTACAACCAACAATGCACGACTTCCAATTGCTCAGATTGGCAAAACAACGATCATGCCTGGTAATAACTCTGACATGGTGTCACTACATAATGTCTATCACGTACCAGGTATGAAGAAGAACTTGTTATCGGTATCGCAACTAACATCGTCAGGAAACTACGTCTTGTTTGGCCCACAAGATGTGAAGGTCTATCGAGATCTTAAAATATCAGAAAATCCAACAATGGAAGGACGGAGAGTGGAGTCCGTCTATGTGCTCTCCGCAGAGTCTACCTATGTAGACAAGACTCGTAAGAACGAGACAGCAGAACTATGGCATACACGGCTGGGACATGTTGGTTATCACAAGTTGAAGGTAATAATGGAGAAATCCATGCTCAATGGCTTACCTCAACTTGAAGTTAAAACAGATGTTGTTTGTGCTGGATGTCAGTATGGTAAGGCTCATCAATTACCATACAAGGAGTCAAATTTTAGCGCAAAGAAGCCACTAGAGTTAATTCACTCAGATGTGTTCGGTCCAGTCAAGCAGACATCAGTTAGCGGGATGCGGTACATGGTGACGTTCATTGATGATTATTCGAGATATGTGTGGATTTTCTTCATGAAAGAAAAATCTGAAACATTCTCAAAGTTTCTAGAATTCAAGACAACGGTCGAAGGAGAAGTGAGAAAGAAGATTCGGTGTCTACGCTCAGACAATGGAGGAGAATACACCTCGGAAGAATTCAATCGCTATCTAAAAGAATGTGGTATACGTCATCAATTCACATGTGCCAACACACCTCAACAAAATGGTGTAGCTGAGAGAAAGAATCGACATCTTGCAGAAATTTGTTGAAACATGCTACACGCGAAGAATGTCCCAGGAAGATTTTGGGCTGAAGCAATGCGAACTGCTGCCCATGTGATCAATAAACTTTCCCAACCAAGGTTAGGTTTCATCTCACCATTGGAGACACTATGGAACATGAAACCTACTGTTAGCTACTTCCGAGTATTTAGTTGCGTCTGCTACATATTTGTACCTAGTCATTTACGTAGCAAGTTTGACAAGAAAGCAATCAAGTGTATATTTGTTGGATATGACAATCAAAGAAAAGGATGGAGGTGTTGTGATCCAACAAGCGGAAGATGCTACACTTCAAGAGATGTAGTGTTCGATGAAGCATCTTCATGGTGGTCCTCAGAGAAGAAAGTATTACCAGACTCGGAAAATATTGAAGAAGTTTTAAAACAAAAGATGGGGGAGCAAACTGCACACATTTGGTCAAGTGTTGATACACCTGAAGATCTGAGCGACACTGATGTCATTGAGCAAGAAGTAACTCAAACAAGTGATGCCGGTGAAAGGGAGACGCCGCCTCCACAACTTCGAAGGACGGAAAGAATCTGAAAGCCTAATCCCAAGTATGCTAATGCGGCCATTTTAGAAGACGGTGTTAAAGAGCCGGAGACATATGAAGAAGCAATTAAGAATAAAGCTTGGCAGAAGGCAATGGAAGAAGAAGTTACAGCCTTAAAGCAGAATCAAACGTGGGAACTGGTACCAAGACCAAGAGATATAAAATCCATTTCCTACAAGTGGGTTTATAAATTAAAGCGACACACAGATGGATCAATTGAAAGATACAAGGCTCGTTTAGTGGCTCGAGGGTTCTCACAACAATATGGACTGGACTATGATGAAACATTTAATCCAGTGGCGAAGATAACTACTGTACGGGTGCTGCTAGCTCTTGCAGCTAGTAAAGACTACAAATTATGGCAGATGGATGTGAAGAATGCTTTCTTGCATGGAGAATTAGATCAGGAGATCTAAATGAACCAACCAAAGGGATTTGAGGATGCAGTTAATCCCACTCATGTGTGCAAGCTGAGAAAAGCTCTTTACGGATTGAAGCAGGCACCAAGAGCCTGGTATGGTAAGATTGCTGAATTTCTTACCCGAAGTGGTTATTCAGTTGCACATGCAGACTCAAGCCTGTTCGTCACAGAAAAAGAAGGGAAGTTGGCAATTGTGTTGGTTTATGTGGATGACTTGATCATCACCGGGGATGACGAAAGAGAAATCCATCAAACAAGAGAAAATCTATCGGTGCGATTCCAAATGAAAGAGCTGGGGGAGCTTAAACACTTCTTGGGGTTAGAAGTTGATCGTACAAAGGAAGGGTTGTTCCTCTGCGAACAAAAGTATACAAGAGA